CTCTTCTGCCAGCAGACAGTTGGAGCACATGTGCATGTTCAGCACAGCTCAGGGGCACCGGAGGCGGAGGGCAATCTTTCAGCGGGAATTGCAACCAGGCATTATACAAATGAGATTTAAACGTCTCGCTGAAGCACGAGGCCCCAGCAAGCAGGAGGTTCAATTATAGAGCTGTTACCGGCCGAGGCGCTAATGCCATCTGAAAGGATTATAATACTTCAAACATGGTAGGGCTCATCCCTCCTCGTCCCCTGGTGCCAGTGCGTGCACTAAGAGGGTCAGCAGTCCCAAAGGAGAAAGAAACGGGGCAGCATCACACTGCCTCCGTCCTCTTCCCTGTCTCCCCAAACAGCCCAGATGGAGCATCAAGATACAAGACCCTTCAGTCGAGCTTTGGTGTAGTTTTCCTGACGCCAGAGCCCTGCGGCTTGGCTTAGCCTCATGCACCCAGTGTTGTGCATCCTGATGGCCTTCACCCCCAAAATACAAGGGGTAGGCAGAAAGAGCACCATGGCCATGCCTTTCACCCTGTCTGAGGAGCGTGTGGTGGTGCCCAAATCACGCTGTGGGTCTCTGGAGAGTAGGCTTCATACCCATCCTGCAGCACGTCCTCCAGTACATCAGGTACTGCTCAACAGCAAACTGGCACAGACCCTGGAAGGGTCACATCCCATACCTCCTTTCTCTTATCCCCTTCCCCAAACTGCACAGCCCCCAAGGCAAGCCAGCAGCTAAATACAAACCTAAGTGACTCCAGGCATTTGGAGTAGCCCACAGAAATCCCTGTTTAAATGCTTGAAGTTAAGTACTTGCTTAAGTGCTTCACTGGCTCAGAGCCGTCTTCTCCAGCTTTGTGCTGACATCAACCACACATCGGAAACAGAGGTAGCTCTGGGCCCCGGCTATCATCCACCCTTAATTAGTCTTCTGTTCTGTGGAGATTTTAGCTCCAGTTGCTTTACTTGAGGGCTGCAAAGCTCCTCTTCCTCTTGCACCGGTACCTGGGCACAACACCCAGGTGCACCTTGGTGGCAGCTCCTCCAGGACCCTACAGGGACGCACAGCAGACCCATGTCCACCAGGATCCCACCCTGCCCCAAGGAGGACCAGCATCTCCCCCTGCTTGGAGCTGATTTACTGCTTCTCAAGGGAGACTTGCAGATCTCAGTTTGCTCTGACCCCGCTTGCTGGGGAAAGTAAGAACAAAAAAAAAAAAAAATCAAATAAAATATTAATACTGATACCTAATTAAAGCAAAGCACTTCTCCAGCAAAGCCTGTCCTGCAGCTGGGGTCCCTGGAGAAGCTCTGAGCACTCACCATTAAGCTTCTTGCTGCCAACGACCTTTCCCTGCTCACACACATCCACAGGCATGCTGCTCCATCTTCAAAGGATGAAGCATTGCCTCCTCCTCTGCTAGCTCAGCAGGGAACACGAATCCCCGAGGACCTTCTAGCAAGTGTCCCACTTTCTCACTTGGCCCTGAGGCCAAGGCCATGCTATCGCCACCCTTGCTGCCCTCCCTGCCCACTGCCCAGTTTCCTTTACCTGTCTCTCTCCAACTAACCCTCTAATGCCCACTCCTGCATGGGCACTCTCTGGATCTCTCCTGTGTTGCACATGTAAGTCTACACAATCAAGACACATACTGCATCCGGCAATAGGACTGACAAAGGCTGGAAAGTGGCTATGGAAAAGACCTGACCTTCAGGAACTGGGAGAAGACTTGACCTTCAAGAACTACAGTGGCAACCTCTGCCTGGGTGGAAACATCCCCATTCAGGCTCTGGAGAAGGGTCTCCAGCGCCTTCATCTGAATGTTGCCATCCTCAACTAGCACCAGCACAGGCTGTTGGCCACTGATTCAGGTCAAGGCGCTGACCGAGGGCGAGGGCAGCTGTGCCATTGTTAAGCCGATCACAGCTAGAACCAGCAATTTGTGTATCTTCTTGTCCACATCTGTGGTAAACGACATACAGGGTCTGAAACACCCCCCAGAGGTTTAAATCTGTTTAAGTCTCCAGACAAACACAACACCATGAAAAGCCACCGGAGAATTATTGATGCTTTTTCCAGTAAGTGCACCAAAGCTTTAATTTTAAAACGGACGGCCAGGGCAGCCACCAAAATGAGGAATTTATTTGCAAATCAGGAGCAGGGGACTCTGACTTGTAAGGAGAGAAAGATGACAGATTCATTGCTTTGATGAAAAGCCAAATTTTGTTTCCAGGGCTTCCCTTAGGAGAAAGCAAGTCAGCTCAGAGTTCACACCGTGCTTATCAGCAAGCACTCGCCGTGCCGGCAGCAGTGCCAGGTCAAAATATACCCCCACCTCCCACAGGCAGCCTGGGCCTGAGCTTCACACATGGACAATGCTCCTATCTGCTGACTGTAGCATCAGCACACCGTCCTGCCTCTGTGGGGGGAAGAGGCAATGCACGCTCCCAGCCAGCATCGCACAGCCCAGCCAGGTCCCAAGGAATCCCCATGGTGACCTCCATCATCTCCAATATGCTGAGGAACCTCCTCCCTCCCTGCGACGCTGCAAAGGAGCACAGGATCCAGGCCACTGACCTCTAGAAACAACATCCAGCTACAAAATTCCCTGCATTCCCACTTAGAAAGATGCTCTTCCTTCTCAGACCCCCAAAATCAGGTGCATGCCCACAGCCATACAGAAGCGCCTCGCTGCATAAAGAACATAGACTTTAATTCTTTAAAATAATACATTAGCTCATAGGATAGCCTGACACATGGAGACAAATCCTGTATAATTAAAAAGGAAAGGAAGCCGATTATATCCTCCTGGAGAATATTGCTGCCTGCTTCTGTTTTATTTATACGTTACACTGTATAATGAGCTGAATATTTAGGAGGTCAGCACAAACCAAGCTGCTGACTGGAGAAAAGAGAAGACCCAGCTCTGTCTGTGCCTGGAGCCAAGCAGGAGGATGGAGAGGATTTTTGGTCATCTTCTCCTCCCCCTGCTTGCAGCTCCCCCGCTCTCAACTGCTTGTGCTCAGGCTGCATCAGTCTTCCCAAGCCGTCATCAAAAAAGTTCTGCGTTCTCCCACAGCCCCCCAAAAAAGGATGAGCGAGGTCAGCTCGAGCCCATTGGCACCTGCCAACTCTTCTAATGGGTCTGCAAACAGTAATTCTGGACAGCAAACAAGACCAAATAGGTTTTAAGAAACAAAAAAAGGGTGGAAAACTGCTGGTCTGGCAGTGGCTCTGCTCCGTGGTGAGGTCCTCTGGTCAACGTCAACAGTCCCCCAACTGGTGCCCCCACTGCTGCTCCCATCAGCGGTGGGACACCTGCTCTCTCCATCCTTCGCTGATGCCAGCTCCCCTGAGCGCCACTGGCCCCTACCAGAGCGGGTCCCCTTGTCACCCTGCTCCGGACTTGCTGGGGCGCCAGGAGATGGCAGAGAGCATCTTTGCAGCCATTGTGCCGCATTAACCGGAGCACCACGGGCAGTCCCTCCACAGCCCATTGCCACCGCTCAGTGCCACTGCCCGCTGGCTGCATGGCATGGGAAAGCCCGAGAGCTGCTACCCTGAAGGTCAGCGGCAATTACACAGGGCACTAATTGAGAAAGAAACAAAGGCAGCATTCCATGTTCCCCCACATGCCAGCCAGGTTCAGCTCATCCCCAGGATCATCAGAGGTCAGACGCATTTGGGAAGAGCCCTGACCCACGGCGGGTAAATAGAGTGGCGAAAGGGAGCTCCTGCATGGACAGATAGTGTTTTGTCTTCCTTCTGTTGCCCAGGCTTCAGCAGAAGCAGCAGATGATTTAGTACTTAGGAGCCCATAGCTGCACTCAGTCTCCAGCTGAGCTTTGCTCATCCTTCTGCGTAAAAGCCAAAGCTCCTACCAAACCACAGAGCCTGAGCATCTCGGAGGTCGGAGAAGGTCTCTCCGTTCCCCACAGAGCTGTGTGTCCCACGTGCCGGAGGACAGCCCGGGATGGGGCGCATCGGGGAGAAAGGAAGGAGGAAAGGGGAGCAGGGAGGGAGGGTAGAAGTGCCATAGTCCTGCCCTGAACCCAGCCCTTTAAAAAGCAGGGAGCTAATCCGAACCGCACCTCCCGAGCAAGGAAGGGATCGTGCTGTTAATACACTCGGCATCCTCGACCCGACACGGCCTTTCCGCAGCAGCAAAGCCAGGGGTAATCCATCTGGTAATTGCTTCCATGGGGATTTTTACACAGCTTTAGAAACTAATGCTACTATCCTTCCCTGAGCAGCCGCCCTTCCAAACCAAACAGCAACGAGGGGCAATGGATAACAGCAGTGTGTTAATGCGAAGGGAAAAGTGCCAAGAGAGGGAAAGCTCAGCCTTTATTTTACCTTGGTTTACACTAACATGGGAAAAAAAAACAACCACCCAACAGATTAGAAAAATAGATATTTGAGCAAAATAATTACAAATACACAGGGCAGTTATAGGCATGGCTTTAGCTGTCTCCAGGAAGCCACCAGCTTGCCTTTCCCTGCCCTCTGTCAGCTAACTGCTTTTGAGGAGCAGAGCTTTACCAAGCGGGCACCAAGGCACAAGCTGTTCCAAGGAAGGATCTCGGCAAGGACAAGAAAAGTCAAAACCCCATTCCTGCACTCTAGTTTCCAGCTCTGGAAAAGCCCTGGGCTCCCCCCAGCTATACCTCAGTTTCCCTGCTCCTACAATTCACTCACAAGGCTCCTGCTTGGTGGGAGGCTCCCCAGGGAGCATCATCTGTGCTGAGCAACTCCAGCACAAGGGCTCTTTTTCCTTTCCCACCTCTCACTCTTTGCAGAGTGGAGGACAAACCATTGCTGGTGACTAACCAAAATCCCCCAAACCCTCTTGGAGAGCTTTCCGGGTGGATGCACACCATGTAGTAACGTGCTGCGGGCCAGCCCAGCCCAAACAACGCCAAGCAGCTACGCTGGTGGAGCTACCCTGGTACTGGCAGAGAAAATCTTGGTCACAGCACGACCTCTCCAACATATTTAAAAGCACCACCAGAAAACACATGGGCTGCTCTACCCGGCTTGGAGAGGATGCAGGAGCCAGGGGCGGGTTGCCTGCAGCTGGCAGGGGCAGCACGGGCTGTGGGGTACCGACCCACGGAGCATCCTGCAAACCCTCAGTGCGGGACCGCCGGTGCCCGCCTGTCAGACGCCATCCCACCAACAAAAAGTGCCAAGGCTTCAATGTGTCCCACCTCCTCATCTCATACACATACGCTCATTTCGCAGAGAGGCGGGTGTTTCTGCAACCCAGAGTCAGTCCTCAACAAGCAGACGGAGGGAGATGAAGCTCAGGTCACAGCGAGGATGCTCCAGGGTGCATGTACTACCCAGCCGCCAGCCCATCCTCCCCCCAACTCTCCTCAAGGAGAAATTAGATATAAAACATTTGTGACAGCAAGAACTGATCTAAACCTTTGATCCTTAGGTACCTGCTGCTGGAGTGTCTGCAAGTTCCCGAGCCTGGGAGCGACATGACTGACAGCACCGGAGATACAGCAGCATAATTTAGAGCATATGTGTCAGCCCAACCTTCTCCTATCTCAGCTCAGTAATAGGAATTAAAAAAAAAAAAAAAAACAAAAACACAAACCAGTTTCTCACTGGCTAGTGAGAAACGCACCATAGCAAGGTACCGTGAGTTAGAAAATAAATAAGCCTGTTGAGGAAGGACTGCGTGTCCCTGCCGGCCACAAGCACGTCCACTGCGGGAGCCTTAAAAAAGTGCTGTGCCTTGGGACGATGCGGGCTTGGCTGGGGCTGGGGGAGACCAGAGGCAGGGCACGGCTGGCATGACCTGGCCGGGCAGATCACAGGCAGATCTCCATGGCCTGGCCGCCTTCCAGCCGCACAGCACTGCTGCTCGCACAAGCAAACCCTGAGCAGAGCTGTGACCAGGCATGGGAGCAGCAGCGTGGGACACCCGAGGTGCACGCAGCAGGGACAGCCTGAGGACAACACAGAGTTGGCAGCAGGGTCCAAAGCTCGTACTGAGGCCTAAGCAATGTTTTAGGGTAAATCTGCCCCCAAAATCAT